AATAACAAATTTTCAAAACATAAATGTTTACTAATTAATCACAATAAAGGCTTAAGTCATATTTACAATTTTTGTGTTTATTTTATTGCTTTGAAATTAAATTTTTCTGCTGGCAACATGCTACTTTTAACACCCCCCCACCATTGTTTGTTCCCTTAGTTTGCCAGAAAAACTTTACACAAACTCAACATATTATATATGTTTGGAAAGCTCTGTCCATCATCTATAATGTAGAACTTATCATATGCTTGTGTAAGGTATGTACTCAGAGAAATTTGAACTAGAACACTGGCAAACATCAAGTTGAACACTTAAGAAAGCCTGGTCCTGACCATATCTAATCAAAATGTTTCACGAGGCACGCACTCGAGCAGCTCATGGGTAACGTAAATCAATAGCGTAACGTGACTTCCAAATCCGCCAAGTGATTTACAACTTATAATGGCAAGAATAGTACTTAGACATGGTTCAAAGGGCAGAAAAACAATAAAATTTAATGATCAATAGATGTATACTGTTGCGAGTTTAAAGGTACTTAGGATAAATGTAGTTTGATCTTACAAGTGGAAGTTATTCTAGAAAGAAAAAAGGTGTAATGTAGATTTATTTCAATTTCTTTTTTTAGTGGTTACGAGGTCGGTCAAATTGACCAATGTTGTTATACAGTTATGGTAAAGAAAATAACAGATAAAATACAAAGTTTTAATAAAAACAAACATCTGAAATGTATTTAAGAGGTTTTAGAGATTACACAAATTAAATCTGAGATTTTAACCTTAACATGAAAATCACTTTGCATATGTACCATTGAAAACAAATACTCAATATATTCACCATCAAATCTTTTTTTAGTCTGTTTAAAATACTTAACAAAAAAAAAAGATTTTTTTGTAAGTAAAAGACTTATAATGTTTACTGAAAGACAGCAAAATGTTGTGATGATATACTTACTGTTAAAAGTTAACAGTTTCAAATTTATAAAGGCTTTATATGACTACAGATAGGTCATATGGTTGGTCAAATTGACTGAGATCATATTGAAAGAGCACAGAAATAACAACACACACACAAAATAATTTCCTATAACTATCATAATTTATTTGGCTCTCTAACATGCAATAAGAGCCCTTATAAATTCAGCTAAGCTTATCGATGTGAATATCATGAAAGAAATTTCCAAACTGGAGGCAAAATAGACAATACTCTGTACAGAAAACATACTATAACAAGTCATTTAAAGATTAAAAATCTGGCTTTCTATTCTTTATAAATAATATAGTATGAAATGTTGAAGTAAACTACTAGCAATTTGTGAAAGAGAAAAAGTAACAGGAGGGTGTGGAAAATGAGTCTGATTTACTAGTTTATGGATCCATAAACAAATAAGATTGAAGGATATAAAAATTATGCTTTGTCTTAGTAATATCTATATAATAAAGAGTAATTCACTTTAAGTTCCATATTTCACAGACAGATGGTAAATAAATTAGAGAAGAGGGAAGACCTAGAGAACAGATGTTACAATTTTTATAATAGAGAAGATTAAGGATTTTTTTAAACATTTACTTATAAAATTAAAAATTTAAAACTTACATAATGTTGAAATTTGATTTATTAACTAGTTTTTGATGCCATGTTTATTCGTATATAATGATAATAAAGAAGCTTAATTAAATTTTGAATGTAACTCTAGAAAGTTGTCACATGCTCACTTTGACCAACCCGTAGTGAGGGTTGAATTGGGAATTTTTTTAACAAGATGAAGCTAAATATGTATAAATTATCAAATAAAAACACCTTCAAGATACTCATCACATCTTACCACTTAACCATTTCATCTCAATATGTCTTCTGAACATTAGAAATTAGTGAATATTCAATGTGAAAACTTCTTCAAACAAACGATATTTTCATTAGATCCTTTTCAACCTTAAGAATAATTTTTAGAAACCTATTTTGTGACAAATTTAAACAAGTATATTTAATCAACAAATGTCCTGTTTTTTTCAGAGATCACTTAATCATGCCACTAAGCACTACTTGTTATAAATCATTCCAAAAAAGAACTTTGCAGCAGAAGTGGTCTTTGGTAATGAGTATGATATCTAAGCTTTTGATACTGAAGTAACATATTTAGATTTTGTTTCTTATGCTTTTTTTCTGTGCAAAACTCTTGAAATAATAACTGAAAAACTTATTTCTTAAAGAACTAGAATTCTCATGATAATGTATGATAAACTTGTACTTTACATTACAAAAATGCTCATTGTTGAGGAAAGTTTTAAGACAAATTTACTGCAAACAATAAGGAAATAACTGCCTGAGCATATAATCAATGAACATATTTATATACATTCTCAAGAAAAAAGGATATTCTGCTGGATCATTTACTTGAAGAAAAGTCCACGTATTGCAATTACTTAACCCTTTTGGTACAGGCCCCGCAACTTGCAGAGCACCATATCAGGAATTTTACTTGTGCAACAATACACACTGTAACTCTGAGATTTCTTGATGAGATTTCTCATAAAAAGTGGTAAGATTTTGTTAAAAATCATAAGTATTTTGTACACAGAGAATGACATTATTTTAGTTGTTTTATAATAATAACTTACATATTTATTGTAGTTATTTGCACTCAAACTCTTAATAAATCAAGTGGAAAGTTATTTTAATTTTAAGTATAAAAATATTTTTCTTTATCTTATAGTTTCATATCTCATTTGCATAACCTCTAAAAACTCCTAAATGAAGTTTTTTAAGGTAAATGTTTATATTATATTTTCATTTTCTCTACCATATCAATAACTAGATAATACCATCATCATACAGCATAACGAAATGTTTAAACTAAGAAATAGAGAAAATGTACATATCTTTTAATTTTTCATAGAATTTCTTAAAAGATCTTTTTACATACATAATTTTATATCTTTTCCCTTTTTTAATGTTATGTTTTCCTTTCCTGCCCTTTATCTTTTATTACTCATCTTAGCACAAGTCAACAGTGCCTTCGGAGCATAATTACAGTACCTTCAGCAGAGATGTACAAGCCTTCAGCAAAATTATTATACCCAAGCATAAAATCTTAAGTCTTGAGAACTTACACAAAGTATGATGTATATTTTAAAGAATGTTTAAACTTTTCAATTACGCATTTTTAAAACATAAATAATACATAATTAACTATGATATAAAAGTAAGACCTAAATATAATTTAAGTGTATCTCTAACTATAACATATTTAGGTAAGAAACAACTGTAAGTGCTATTGTCGATCAAACAGCCAACAATACTACAGGCAGTTCCATCTACTCTATGATGAAAACTGCCTGCAGATTTCATAATAACTGTTGTTGGATTATAGTGTAAAATGAACTCTTTCTAATGACTATATAGATGTAAGCATGGCACCTGTCAGAGATTGATAAAATGTATTATTTGTTATTACTGCATTTGTCCAGAGAACTTTGAAATGTACATATCAATAGGGCAAGTAAACAAACTTATTGTCTAGACATACATCTACATGACTGGCATTATCTTAAACAAGATTGAGATCATCAAAGTTACTTTTGCAGAAAGGTTTAGAGTTAAAACATAATATTTGAAATAACACATTGGAGGACCTCTTTTACTACTAATCTTTAGAAGGTAAATTCTGTGATAAATTTAATTAGTATGATTTTTTTTTTTTGGTTCTCAATGGGATCATCTACAAATCCTGTTTGGGAAAAATAGGGCAAATTAATAACTGTTCAACAAACAACTGTGAACTAATATTTTACATGAATTTGGAATTGTAAAGTAACATACAAAATTTGTTTAGTATGACTATTCATGTACATGTAATATTCTCTGGCTTACCCTTATTCCTGTTGGGATCATCTCTGGGGTAATACTTGGTAATAGAAGGACTAGAAGGTTTTTATCATCAAAGCTACATTCTCTCAGCATATAAAAGGCCTTAACTGCTATGTCTGCATTGTCATAGGAGACAATCAGTGAGCCATATTCATAGTAGATTGGTCCAATCTGTTTGAACCTGTAAGCTACAAAAAATGATGACAAAAAATGTAAAATAGCATGTAAGTAAAATGCAGGGTTGCAAAAAATAAATAAAAATAGCCATAAACAGTTTCTAAACAACTTTCATTTTCATCACACTATTATTACTTAACTTAAAAAATAATATAATTCAAAGTAATAATGTTAGTTACTAGTACAGATCTTAGAAGAATTTAGTCCTTGTACATGTAATTTCACCATTTGAAGACTTACTAATTAATTATATTCATATACAAAATAGTAATAGTTACAAACACATTAATATGCATTATAAATTTATGTTTACTGGTCAACAGTTTACTAACAGAATGATGACTTATAACAACCATGTAGACAAATTTCCATAACAAGTAAGAAAAAAGATAAAAGTTTTTTAAAAAGCCAACATTTGCAAAAGTTATGAAATGCCTTTTGGTGCAACAAAATACTTTAATGCAACTATTATGTCAGGTAACATATAAAAAGCTCACATTACTTCCTTCAGAAGACTATATGAGCACATCCATCATCAGAGGTGAAATTACACTTCACAAATAATTCTACCAATTTTTATAACTCTGCAGACAGACATACTGTTTTTCTATTCTTTCTTCTTCTTCCAAACACTTTTCAGTGGATTGCCATTCTTTCAATTCTTGGTAGATTGATTTAAAACTTGGTAGGGTTATACCTTGGTCCAATATGCCCAGATATCTTTTAAATTTCTATATTTAAGCCTTTTTAAAGATTTTATGGGGTCAAAAGTAAAACAACCCAAAAAAATGTATATTTTAGGTTCCTGTGCAGTCATGTTTACAGCAATCAAGATGAAAATTGGCATAAATATAAATTTTGATGTGCTCAGCCCATTTGGAGTTTTTGTCAATTACTCAGCCATATTTTGACCAATTTACATGGGATTTAGCATAAAGACACTTTTCTACAGGCAACATACATAGATAAATAAAAAAATGTTGGACTTGTCCATTTTTAGAAATTATATGGAGTACAGTTGCCACAAAAATCATAATTTTAGGGTCTTTTGACAATTCCTCCACCATATTTCGATCAATTTACATGGGATTATGGTAAAAAGATACTTTTTACAGGTCCCAGAGATATAGACAGTTTGGAATTTTTGTCTTTTGCTCAAGTTTTCAGTGAGAAAAGTACAATTTTGGTTTTTTGTGAACTAATAATGTGTATGTCAACCAACTTACAAGCAATTGCAGAGACATTACATTCACCAATGAATGTTGGCCTCTTTAATTTTAACACAATACAGGGGACAAAATAGTTTGTTGGATTTGATTAACAATTAGCATATATTGCTTAGCATCTTCTTAACATACTAATTGGTATAACATAAACAAAAAGTAGTTTCATAAGATTTTGTACGTAATACACGAAAACCTTGTGTCATGCACAGTAAAGGATACCCATGGCAATAGGGTTAATGTAATACAAAATTTTCACGAATCACGTCTGTGGGTAATTTAACTTGACAGTGTAATGTGAGCCACATGTTCTCCAAGTGATTTACATTTACAACTTATATTATAATGGCACAAATAGTACTAACACTAGTAGTTAGACATGGTTAAAAGAGCAATAAAAAATCAATAGATGCATATTGTTATGAGTTTAAAGCTACTTAGGATAGATGAAGTTTTATGTTACAATCTGAAGTCATTCTAGAAAAAAAAAATGATGATTTAGATTTTTTTTAATTTTTGCTGGTTACGAAATTGATCAACCTTGTATAGACTTAGCTCAGAGGAAATAACAGTTAAAATCTGAAGCTTTACTGAAATAAAACATATGAAATGTACTTAGAAGGTTTTAGAGATTATGCAAATGGCATTTGAGATGGAGAAAAGTATTTTTAATGTTAACATGAAAATCATTTTGCACTCCGACTGGTCAAAAAAAGACTCGATATATTCATGGACTAATCTTTAGTAAAAATACTCCATTGAAAAACTGATTTTTTTTGTACAAATGTATTGTAATTTCTACTAAAAGTCTGCCAAATTTTGTGAAGATACAAATACCATGTTGAAAGTTATAGTATTAAAGATATATATTCAAGTTAAAAAGGTCACATGATAGGTCCTTGGGACAGAGTTCATAAATGGCTCAATGCTATATGTGTAGTGCATGTATTGTATGTCGGTAGTCTAGTTGGCTAGGCTGTGTGGGCATTGCAAACATCATGAACAGACTACTACAAAGTGTATGTGTAAGAAATAGGTCCACAACAAAGTTTGAAAATATTGTATGTGTCATTTGGTGGGAATTTCTGAGAAATGAACATCAGCTTTGGCATATCAAACTGAAAGGTTATGGCACTTTCACTGTGTTGTGGGAGGTCTCAAAGACAACATACAAGATAAAGGAATGATTTGCACGTTATGCTAAGCAAAGAGGAAAATGACTTGCAACTGGTGTTCTTTTAATTTGCAAATTGCAAGGTGAACCCAGATATTTTGGCCTCTGCAACATATCCAATATATAAATAAAATTAAAAATGACAGAAAAAAAGACATAACTTTTCAGTTTACAATATATATAACCATATGGGCCATATACACAAATTAGATTGAGAAATTCTTTGTGAATAAAGACTGTAAAAATAATAACATAGTTTCTAAGTTTATCAATATTAAATTATCTATTATCAATAAGAAAATCCGTAATATTATCTTGTGACATAAAAAGATTTTGACATCCATTACTAGATCTAAATGTGGGGAACTTCCAAGAAGCAATATTACATTATTTTCACTTAAAATTATCTGAAATAACCCAACCTGTTGTTTGAAACTATTTTATGCTACTGCTTTTCACAAAATGTCTGCTTGTGAACTTAAAACTAGAATGACTTTGAAGAAAAAATTTTCTAAACTTAAAAATAATTCAAATGACAATAACTTGACTACAAATAGTAAAAACAGTTATGAAATAGAGTAAGAAAATCAAAACCCGTCCAATTATGTTAAAATTTCTATCTATGTTGAGTAATCCCAAGGTTTTGAACTTTTCATAACATTCTGACTCTCAGATAAAGGTTCTTAACTTAGGATTAGGCTTCACCATTAAACCAATTCTACCTTCATTTGAAGATGATAATAAAGTACAAAGTAACTTAGAATCTTTGAACAGTTTGGAGAAACTGAAAAATATTCCATTAGAAATGCCATTAACAATTTTATCAAAATATTAACAAGGAATTCAGTTGGGATTACTCAACATAGATAAATATTATTACACAATTGGATGGGTTTTGATTTTCTTATTCTCTATTTTGTAACTAGTTTTACTATTTGAGTTGATCCTGAATATAATTCAAACAAAACAATGATATTAGGCATTAACATGATGAGAAATTATATTAACTAGGACCTTTACTGTCTTGTCAGTGAAGGATCTTACCATTTTTCATTTCTTCATTGTCTACTTCATCTTACTAATTAAATAAACCTGAAGGTGTTATAGAACTATATATACCAAAGAATGTTAAATGGTAAGGAATAAGCAAGCAGAAATTAGGTTACAAAATTGTTAAGAGCCTAATACCTTTTTAAATGGCTTTTTTTTTTTATGGTTACACATCTTGAAAATCTTTTATCAGATACTCATACAGCACTGGAATTGTTTTATTATTTACTTTGAGTGAGAGAGATTTAGACAGCATACAAATAAAACCTGGCAAATTTACCAATGTTAAAGAAATAGTTTCATGATAAGAATTCGCTATTATCCCTTCATATAATTTCTTTCATCAGGCAAGTGGGAAAAGTCATATCAATTATTTTCAACAAAACATTTAACTCTATTGCCACAGGTATCCTTCACTGTGCATGACAAAAAGGTTTTTGCATCTTACATTCAAAATTTTTTAAACAAATTTTTGTTTATGTTATACCAATTAGAATAGCATAAAATCTTAGCTAATAATCCATATATTAATAGTATACAAGTTTTACATTCTTAATTCTACAAGTCAATATTTTAAAAATCCTGAATTTCCATTAGTGTGACCCACATGACACATTTATTCTTAGCATGTCATCATCCCTATTAAATCCACCACCCTTCAAAAAAGTACAAAATTAAATGTAAATTACTCTCTGTAAAATCATTATTGCTCAGACAAACCAAAATTTTTATAGTCTTCAATTTTGTTTGGTTACAGAACTTTTGAATAGGAAATTAGACCCCTCCTGCCACTTCTTTTTCAGAATTCACTGACAATTCTCTCTTACGTTTCATTGTATATTACCTATAACCAATAGAAAGTCAAGGTTTCATCAATCAAATGACGTATTGTATAACATTGTGTTCTGAAAAGAGAGGCATCAATTTCACTCACAGTACAAGCTTCATTCCTTTGGGAAAGTTAACGACTAGCTTGGATGAATTTGTAACAGCTCTTGTTGCATAGTTATAAAGCTGGATAGATTTTGAGAGGTAAGGAAATTTGTCTAATTTTTGCATATTATCAGTCTATATTCTTTGGTGCATTATTTAATTAAATAAAAATTATTAAGTGCATTACTATCATTACTATAAAAAATTAGACTTAACCATCCTTGATAATTGAGAGCAAAAAAAAAGAAGATCGGGTAAGTACTTTATTTCTTGTTTTTCATAATTATTCTATATTTATTAATAAAACAGTAACTAAAATCTAAAAATACGAATCTTTTTAAGATATTTAAGACTATATTACGTAAAATAAGTAATAATGATAATATAATTAAAATGGTTCATGAGGCATGCAAGTGAGCAGCTCGTGGGTAATGTAATTCGTTAGCATAACATGAGTTGCATGTTCCCCGAGTGGTTTGCAACTTATAATGGCACAGACAGTAGTTAGACATGGTTCAAAAGGCAATAAAATAATAAAATTTAATTATAAATAGATATATACTGTTACAAACTTAGAGCTACTTAGAATAAATGAATGTAGGTTCATATTACAATTTGAAGTAATTCTGGAAAGAAAAAAGGTTAATTTCAATTTTTCTGGTGGTTATGAGGTCGGTCGAAATTGATTGATTCTGTTTTGATATAGGGTAGAAGAAATAACAGATAAACTATAAAGTTTTACTGCAAAAAACGTTTGAAATGCACGTAGAAGGTTTTAGGGATTACACAAAGGAAATTTGAGACTTTTGAGATGATGAAAATTATTTTAATTTTAACATGAAAATTACTTTTCACACAGACTATTAAAAACAAATACTCAATATATTCATGGACAAATCTTTATTTTACTAAAAATACTTCACTTAAAAATGTGATTTTTGTATGTGAAAGACTTGTAACATTAACTGAAAGACTGCCACATTTTGTGAATATATACACAATATATTGAGAGTTATAAGTATTAAATCTATAAAGACTTTAAACAAGTACAAAAAGGTCACAAGGTCAGTCAAATTGACAAAGTCTTTTGTGAGAAAATTAAACAGTAACTACAATATAGCATTTAGGAAGTACTCAAATATTTGAATTACTATTTTATCTAGCAAAAGCACTATGAAATACTTTCATACTGCCTCAAACCCCTCCCCAAAAGAATAGAAGTCAATCTGCTATTACAAATGCGAATTAAAGACCTCTATATACAAAAATAAGATTACATTAACTTATTATAAATATATCTTGCAGCAATTTCAATAACATTACAGTACAAAATTACAACAAAAGTAACAAAAACCTACGTTTGCCCAACATATCAATAAGAATTTTCTCATATTGTCGTTGCGAAAGGTTTGGAGGGAGGTTACCAATAAACAGTGCTACAGTGGTACCACAAGACTCATCTTTCTGTTGTAAATAAAACCTTGTCAAATTCATCTGCCTAATAGATTCCTGGAAAAAAAAAAAAAAAGAAGGAGAAATTGTGAGATTTTAAGAATATTTATCAACTTCAAAAACAACTTAAAAGTGTTAAATATAAAATCAAACAACATGTAAATAACATTAAGTTAGGACTTACCTTAATGTTCCCATGAACACTCTTGATTATTCATAGGATAAACAAGTAAATAAAATTAAGGCTTACTCTGGCAAATTTCTATGAAGTTCCCATGGATACTCTTGACTATCAACTGGATAAACAATTAAATAACATTAAAACTTACTCTGGCTATATTTCTATGGAGTTCCCATGGACACTTGATTATTCATTGGATAAACAAGTAAATAAAATTAAGACTTACTCTGGCTAAATTTCTAAGAAGTTCCCATGGACACTCTTGATTATCCATTATTCTTTCATGGACAGCTGAAAAAAAAGTATTAATCATTTTTTGTATTATATTACTTTCTCAGATTAAAAAACCTGGGATAAATGTTTTCAATAAATCAACTTTATGGCATATGAAATCTGATAGTTAAAAGTGCAGTCCATACTATAAAAAATAACATATCTCCATTAGTTATCCAGAGCTTATCAGAGTATAAAACCAAATCTATTATTTGTACAGACCATAATTAAAACTATAACACACAAGTTAAACACGAGTTCTATTGTGCATGATTTGAGTTAAAATTTTTCCATACTTCGTATATTTGCAAAAATTATACAGAATATATGCCATAAAATAACTACTAACTTATGAGTCATTATAGTTTTTGAAATATTGTATGTAGTATTTAATTTTATGTATGTGTGAAAATATTGTCACCATCTAGTTATTCTACATGAGCTATACTGTTTTCAAGATTTACTAAAGATTATCTTTTGATAAAAAATAAGACTTGGAAAAATAAATATATTTGTTACAGTTGTTCAAACTTAAATAACTATATGGAAAAAAATTCAATAACTTGTGAAGGTTCAGTGCTACTCTTTCAACTACTTTATCAGCATTTGTGCTCATTCTGATGGCCATGATTAGGTACTACTGCCAAACGTTGCAATTTTCACTATAACAAGCTCCTGTGAAGGATAGTAAGGTTAATTTAAGTCCACTCATCTGGACAACTTTCCACAGACTCTCCACTATAAATGGAAGTCAGCTTCCATGGCCTAATTTAAACATATCATAGGCTCAAAAGACCAGTGAAGCTTCTACTAGCAGACGTAATGGTATCTGGTTGAAAGAGGTTGCTGTGATTCCAGTTTGTTTCATGAAACCAGATTCTGATATTTAGATGTGGCTGGAAGCTTGTGAAATTTTTTGTATACTTCAAATATTTATTTATTTATTAGCTTGTTAATGGTAGAAGGATATATATACCATCGTCATTGCAATGGCTTTCTGTATTGGAGCAATCTTTTTTTGTAACCACAGCCCTCATAGTCAGAATGCTATTCTGCACTAGCTTGAGGTGAGGTTTTGATGTCCTAAACACTTTATTGTGCTAATTTTTCATCTTCCATGCAGAACAGTGAAAGCTCTTTTGTGTCCTTTTTCTCTATACTGTTTTAACAATCTTGCCACACAAGCATTATTTTTCAGAAAGGGCTGTGACATACTCCTCAAAAAACATTGGCAGCAGCACACTGTGAAGGGCTTAGGAATGAACCAAATATATAGGTACCAAACAGGTCAATCACAGTACTACAGCTCATAACCGCAGCTACACATTACTGTATAAGCATATAAAAAATAATCAAACTAGTAAAGTGCAAGTATGCTTTTATATAATATTTCATACTGTACATTTCTTATTTATGTACTTATTTTTCACTGAAATATTTCTTCCCTACATAAATGTTCAGGGCATAAAATAGAGGTTTGTACATGAAATTCACTCCCTCTTATTTTCTTACTGTCATACCAAGGAAAAATAAACATCTAGTAAAGGTAACAAATTGAATCATTGAAAGCATTAAATTAAGAAGGTTCTACAGTTAATATCAAAAACCACTTTTTTTTCTGAAACATGATGGAACAGTTTGTTCAATGGTGATGACAAAATGTTTTATCAAACAAATAACCATAGAGATAAAAACTAATATTCTAACTATAAAATAGTTTATTTTTCAGAAGTTAGAAAAAGAAAAGAAATCCATACACAGAAGTGAACTTACAGCCTCTATCAAGTGAAACTTCATTCAACCTAAATCTGTTTAGGTTGGTTGAATCAAGACCAAGATTTTCTAGAGCCTGCACCATTATTTCTTCTACACTCGTGTCAGCTGTCACAGGAACATTGACGTAAGTTTCTGTTACACTAAATGAAACAAGATCATATATGCTTAATTACTCAACAAAGACAACCTTTTGAAAATATATAAACATTTGGGAACTAATTGATAAAATCAGGCACTAAACATTATACACTATATAATTTATTGTTCCATGAAAAACTGATATACAGTATGTTTCTACTACAAAATTCTGGGTGTTGTAACCAAATTAGCCTGATAAAGTTTCATATCAGTAAAAAAAATGGCCCCACCTGTACTACAACAGACAAGATGTAGTTGATTTACTTATGTTCCCTTCCTAAATGTTTTAAATGAGTACGAAGAGGTCACAGGGTCGGTCAAATTGACCGAGCCCGTGTTGAGAGAGTTAAGTTGATAAAATTTATATAAAAATACAATTATTTCAACAGTCTGTTTTCTTGACTGACACCTTACACACACAATGAGCTATAACATCAGGGCAGAGACCCTTATGGTTCACAATAAGGCAACCATTCTGTTATTATTAAGCTTATCCAAATCACAAGATTGACTGTCACTCTTATAATGCATTCATTGTTGAAATTGTAAGTGTAGTTTGTAGCACTAAGTCTCAAACCCCAGATCTTCAAATCCCCAATACAACCACTAGTTATGCTCTGGCCATTTCAACAGCAATATGCATGCATATAGCTATTATGTATTACAACAGACCATAAATAAATATTCACTATTATATGTAATAAATAGATTTCTTAAGCATAAAGAAGTGAATTCTTTTTAAACCCAGTTAACACCAAATTTCATTTATGAACATCAAAAAATTCCAATTACAGAAAAAAAAACAACAACATTTATCACCAAAACTGCTTTTTCCTCCAGCTTTTTGTATATTTATCTAATAAAGATTATAGGTGATAATTACAAATGAATTGTTTCATTAAACTTCAACTAAAGTTAGTGGTCAGCTTCTTATAAAAAACACATTAAATAATGTTCAAGTTACAGATGTTTTGGATCTGTTTTATTTCATAAATGTAATAAATAAACTAAAAAAGAAAAGTACATTAACAAGAGCTTGTAATGACTTAAATATAATTTTTGGTCAAAAATATATTTATAAAATACTGAGAAGAAATTATAAACAAATCACAATAGGTCTACTTCTGGAAGTGGAAAAAATCTAAAAATTCATTTTTATATACAGAGCTAGACGAGTTAAATAATTATCTATGAGCAGCAATTACATTGATTAATCTCTCATAAACTAATCAATTAATGTCAAAAAATACAACTAATCAAAACTAGTATTTCTAATCATTGATTGATTAAGTCTTCATAAAAAAGGCTCAGCCATTTTGAATGATCTTGTAACCACCATGTAACCACAAAATTATAGATACTATACCTTTCAATGTAGTAGTAGTAGTAGTATCTTCATAAAATTTTGCAAGGTTTAAGTAAAAACTTCAAATCTTTTGTACACAAAGAATCTATGGAAGATTTCTCTGTGAATTTATGAAGCCTGTACTGAGTTGGTCTAAGTGCAAGGTGATTTTTCATGTTTATAATCAAAATACTTTTTAAATCTTATAATTTCAAATTTTGTTTGCATATCTTCTAGAGCTTCCTAAATAAATATCAAGTCTTTTCAATAAAACTTAATATATCATCAACTAATCAAAATTAGGGTTTCTGATTAGTTACTGTTTTCAATTATTCCAACTATCCAAGTAATCAAAATGTTCCCATTATGTTTGTTTGATATTAAGCACAAAGCTACATAATGGGTGAGTGCCTCATGATTCGAGGGTCTTGCATTAGATTCATATTGTCGCTGATGTTAACACTGAACTGCTGACCAGAAAGTGGGTGGCTAGAAGCTTCCACAATCAACTCTCTGGCTACTTAAGTGTTAACTAAGGTAAGTTCACCTTTTTATTTTAGTGTGTTACATTTATAATTTATAATTGTGTAACTATATCCTTTAATGTTGTATAAGCAGGTGTGGATATAGAGCAATAATTCAAGGGGTCTGGACCCCCCCCCCCCATTCAGTGAAGATCCAAATCCCCATCTTCCTTTTTTCTCCCAGAAATTAATAAAAAAAGCAGCCGAATATCTTTACATTACCATATAGCATCAAAAAGAAACATTAGATGCCAGTGATTTTATTTGATAGAGCTATTAATTACCATAAAAGTATTTTTTGGGGGTTTTCTGAAATCTAAGGCAATTTAGTTAAGGCCTTAGTAACTGATTATTTCTAAAATACTAGAACAATGTGACAATCAATAAAACACTGACATTGTAACATTTTTCTATCTTGGCTTATTCCAGACACTCAAACAATGTGTCTAGATTTAGAAGACTTGTTTTCAACAAAGTTAGTATTGTTTAGGACACCTGCTGCTCTTATAATGTAGACTTGTTACAAAATTTTGAAAACATGCATCTTGTTTACCACTACTACAAAACTGTTTTCCTAAATATGATAATAAATAATTATCATATAAATTACATGAGTAGAAATTAAGATATAAGCTTTGAAACTGATGGATTATAACATGACTAAGCTAAGCCTTTACAGAATATATTAACAATATTTTAAATTTGACTTGTTTAGGTTACTTTAGGACTATACAATTAACAATGATTAATCCAAAACCTGATGATGCCATATCTGGAGAATATGTTGGGTGGAGGAGAACTTCCCACCCAACACCATAATCTTGTGTTGCGTCAAACATGCCACATGTGGACATGCATTGTCGTGAAGAAGAATAATACCTTTCCAATTGATGAGTGAAGGGCTTCATTTAAATGTTCCAGTTGCTGACTGTAGATCTCTGCATTGACAGTTCACCATGGATTGAGGAGTTCAAAATGAATTACTCCTTTCATGTCCCACCAAATGCAAAGCATCACTTTCTGCCGATGGAGTCCAGGTTTTGGGGTTAGAAGTGGTTTTTGTCTAGGACTGAGCCACTGTTTTTAATATTCGCATAGAGAATCCATTTTCATCACCAGTTACAATTCTTTCTGAAAATGTTTCATGCTCGTTACGCACCAGAAGAGATGAAACAGCTTTCACATGTTGGAAATGATAATTATCAGAGAGTTTATGAGGCACCCAAATACCTTTTTTATGGAGTTTTCCCATATTCCTTAGATGTATTGTTTCAAGAGAGACATGCAATTTCAGGGCCATTTCACGAGTGTGTTGTCTTGGGTTAAACTCAACAAGCGTCTTCAGAGCATCAATATCAATTCCATCGTGTCGGCCCCTGCCTTCACAATTTTTAAGGCTAAAGTTACCTGATTGAAATTTTCTGAACCATTGTTGACACTTACGAACATTCAAAACATTCCCATAAGCTTCTTTGATATTCTTTGTGGCTACAGAGGCATTCTTTCCTATCTTGTATTCAAACAGCATTACATGCCAAATGTGTGTCTTGTTGTGTGCCATCACTACAATAGATTAGAGTATACGAAACTTTACACATTATATATGCCACACTAATGTGATGTTTAGGTGGTTTGTTTAACTTTTATACATGATGTACATTTTTTGCGGGGTGGTTAATGAAAGTGTTCCAAAACACGACATTAATTTCTTGACGACCTAATATTTCACCTGTTATTTTCTCTACCCTAACTCTACATGATGTTTGTCAATTTGAACAAATTCATAACTGCGAAAAAAAAAAAAAAAAAATTAAAACACATCTAAATTACACTTATCTTCTTTCTAGAATGACTTCACTTTCTAACATGAAACTACATCTGTTTATCCTATATAGCTTTAAACTTGTAACAGTATACATCTGTTTATGCTTACATTTTATTGCCCTTTGAACTGTTTAACTAATATTCGCACCATAACATTTTTGTAAACTGTTTGGTGAATGTGTAGCTCACGTTACCCCATCGAATTACATTATGCATGAGCTACTCACAAGCATACTTCATGAAATTTTTTTTATCATTATTTTTTTTATTTTACCCAGTCTAGCCTTATCTAATCTAAAAGTTACTAATTTCTACATTTTAGTTACTTTTATAATAATAATAAATAAAGAATATACAAGAAAAATAATAAATAAAAGTACTTACCTTGGTCCTTTTTTTTTTTTGCTCAATGACATTTAACGCTACTTTTTTTACACTAATGGTACTACTGCACTAAATAATTTTTTATTTAACCCTTCCTCCACGGGTACCATTTATTGCACATGACACAAGGTTTTAGTGTCTTACATTTAAACTTTTATTATACTACTTTTTGTTTATGTTATGCCAATTAGAATAGCATAAAATCTTAGCTAATAATCCATATTTTAATAGTATACAAGTTTTAAGTTCTTAATTATACAAAGAAATATATAAAAAAATCCTGAATTTCCACTATTGCGACACACGCGACACATTTTGTCTTAGCATGTCATTATCCCTATTTTTTCCATCACTCTTTGAAAATGTATGAAATTAAATGTAAAATACTCTCTATAAAATCATTATTGCTCAAACACCATAATTTTTATAGCCTTCAATTTTGTTTGGTTACAGAGCTATCGATTAGAAAATCAGACCCCTCCTGCCACACCCACCTGTCACATCCTCTCTTTCACAATTCGTTGATAGTTCTCTCTTACGTTTCATTATATATATTACCTCTAACCAATAGAAAGTCAAGGTTTTCATCTATCAAATGATGTATTGTATAATGTTGTGTCCTGAACAGATAACCATCAATTTCACTCGGAGTAGCAACATCGTTCCTGTGGGAAAGTTAACGACTAGCTTGGATGAATTAGTCTACTTTTTGCATATTATTAGTCTATATTCTTTGATGTATTACTTAATTAAATAAAAATTGCTAAGTGCTTTACTGTAATCACTAAAAAACATCAGGCTTAACTCTTCTCGACAATCAAGGGCAAGAAAAAAGAAGATTGGGTAAGTACTTTATCCCTTGTTTTTCATATTTACTCTTCATTTATTATTATAAAAGTAACTAAAATTAAAAGTACAGATCTTTTTAAGTTATTTAAGACTAGATTATGTAAAATAAGTAATAATAATATAATTAAAATGGTTCACGAGGCATACACTCGAGCAGTTCGTGGGTAACGTAATTCGATAGCGTAACATGAGCTGCACGTTCCCCGAGTGATTTACAACTTATGATGGTGCGGATAGCAGTTAGACATGGTTCAAAGGGCAATAAAATAAGAAAATTTAATTATAAATAGATGTATAATGTTACGAACTAAGAGTTACTTAGGATAAACGAATGTAGTTTCAGGTTCCAATTTGAAGTCATTCTAGAAAGTAAAGAAAGGTAATTTAGGTTTATTTCGATTTTTTTGTGGTTACGAGGTCGGTCGAATTGACCGACCTCGTCTTGAGAAAGGGTAGAGAAAATAACATAAAAACTCTAAGGATGTAGTGAGAAAAAACGTTTGAAATGCATTTAGGAAGATTTAGGGATTACACAAAGGAAATTTGAGATTTTTCAGATGACGAAAAGTATTTTTAATTATGTCAACTTTAAATGAGTACAGAAGGTCATGTGACTCGGTCAAATTGAACGACCCCCGTGTCGAAAGATTTAATGAAATAATACATCAAAGAACACAGATTCATAAACTGCAAAAAACAGACAATGTCCCATAACTATTAAAATTTTTCTGGTTTTCTAACTATGCGACAAGAGCCATCAGAAATTCAGCTAAGCTCATCAATGGGTATCCTGTGAGTATAATGTTTGAACTGGAAGCAAAATAGACAATATAATAATACAGAAAACAATGTAATATAATACAACATTTAATAGGTTAAAACACTGGCTTTCTATTAATTATAAATGACATAGTATTAAACGTCAGAGAAAACTATTGACAATTTCTGAAAGAGAGGATGTGACAGTTGGGCATGGCAAGAGGGGTCTGACTAATTTTATGTTAAATTTCATAATTGTCATAGAGGTGGTAACTACATTATAGAAGAGGGGATACCTAGAGTGCATATATCACAATTCTCATACTAGGGGGAATAAGGATTTTTTTAAATATTTCTTTATAAAATTAAGAAATTAAAACTTGTATAGTATTAAAGTTTGGATCATTAGTCATGTTTTTATACTAAATTTATTCGTATACCATGATAAGAAAGTAGTTAAATTAAATTTTTAATGTAACTCACTAAAACCTTGTGACATGTGCAAAAAAAAAAGATGACTGCACGGAAAGTGTTAAGTTTAGGCTACTTGAAGAATATAAAAAAATAGATTTGTACTTTGGCTAAGTACTCATTTGCCTAATAAATAAAAGGAGTTATGATTATTCATTTTCCTTGGTTGGAGTACTTGTGTAGTTACTTATACAATACGTACGGCTTCAACACTTATAAACATGTAAAACAGTATTGAATTGTATGGAATAATAAATATGGAAAATAAATACGTACATGTTACTGTTGCAATAGGCGATTAAGAGGTAAGTAAATATTTTGTTGTTTCTAAATGTTAACTAATGCAGTTATGCTGCATGCATATTTTCATGTACAAAGTTTACAATTCATAAAGTAACTTAATTATAAATTATTGTGCCTGAAGTCTGAAAACTGTTTCCCCTATCTTTTCTTTTTTTTGCCTCTTGATAAAATATTTGGAAACAAATTTTAAAGTTAATTGTATACATTAATTCTAAGTATATTTCAACAATTTCAGCTCAAAAAGATTTCTGGATCGAAATTTTATTTTCTTATACTTGTTTGGTGTAATTAATGTAGGAAAAAAAAAATTCATATTTTTGTTTCTGTACAGATGAAAGGATTTTTGCCTAGAAACAAAACAGCCTATTTTTGATTTCTTTAAAAATTTTTCTATCCATACCAAAGAAATCTATATTTCTGTTAACAACATATAATCCCTTGAGAATATATTACCAATTTCATGATTTTCAACAATTTCCTTTAGTTTTTGTACAGCCCTTGGTTGAAACCTTGTTACGTTGCATCAAGTAGTTTAATCATTTACTAATGATTCACAACTTTGAAAACAGCTATAAAGAGAGTTTAAATATGATTGAGTAGAACATAAATAAAGTTATCATGCAAGAGTAATATATAGCTTTAAGAGTTTTTATGTAGTTTCTGTATGAATTATTAATAGAATGCGATATATTAATGAGCCCATCGATTAATCAATTAGAAAATACCACTAATCAGCCAGCTCTGATAACGTATACAGAACAGTAAATGTAACAATGAATCAAAAAATTAGAAACCTACCCTAGATTACCAGGATAAACCTTTATTGACCCCTTGTCAGGTTCTGGTGGACGATACCTTAAAAAGATAGCTGGCCTTTTACCTTCTCGCCGTGTTAAGCTCTGAACTGGCAGGAAGTCCCCAAGTTCCTTTTCATTAGGATCTAACATAATAAAAAAATAAACTGTACAAAACGGGAATAACACAATGTATCCAATTTCAAAAACTGTTGAAACAAACAGTAATTTCTTACAAAGCACTATGTCTAATACTTCACTACAACTATCACAGATCCAAACAAGAAGCTTTTAAAGTTTTTCTTCTTCTTACTAACATCTTTAGTCTTTTCAGTAGCACATTCTCTTGCTCAGTAATTTTTTCACTCAGCTTTCTTGTTTTTTACACAAATAATTCAAAGAATACAATGCAGAACAACAAACAAAGGTTAAATGGTCAGCAACTACCCAGTTCAGATTGATACTAGCATAGAAATTCTTGGATTTCTAATCTACTCTGCCTAAGATATCTACAAGAAAGCATTCAGTTTAAACAATCCTTGTAACAGACTTGTAATTTTACTTCAGCTTGCAAAAAGCTTGACCACATAAAACTTTTGCTACTGACCAACTACTAATAGTAACACATGAAGTTGTGAGTAATTCATCTTTACTGGATGTTTATGCAAATGTAAACCTTTTCCTCTGTACTGGTTAGAGTTACACTCTGTGGATACTGCCTGCCTTTTTTCCTTAGTTTTGAGCCTTTATAAATTTTCTGTCTTATTTTTCTACTAGTATTTGATCCACATTTCAGACTTGTGGCCAAGTTTTTATGAATTTCCTTCAGTATGGAGTCCAAAATGTTATCACAAAACCAAGCAAAACAAATGCAAAAGAGGTCACTGAAAATTATGACTCACATGCCAAAGAGACTGTCTTAACCTACCTCAAAATTTTCTTAACTTTATCCCAAATCTTTAATTAAATTTCTATGTGAATACCAAAAAGTATAAAAAAGCAATTAATCTCAATTAGCATCAATAGATGAAAAACAAAAATGTTATATCAGCTTCTGCATGGCTTACTAAAAAAACAACAACAACAAAACAAAAAAACAACATACATATACAAAACAATATTTCAAAAGAAATATTTATGCCAGGATGGTAAACAAGCATAACATTTGTCTTTTTGTGGTAATGATAGCTGCAAAGTCACCTGCAGCATGTTAAGTTAGACAGTTATCTTTAATCTTGACATTCAAGTGATCTCTTGAAATAAAGACCTTTCTCACATTTTATTGGGAATAATCAATCATATGGATAGAGCTTGTCACTGTGGGAAAGTTTGACATTAACAATTAAGTAAATAATGTGAGACTTATTCAGCCTGGAACAGGATTTCAATAGATTTAATCTTGCTTATGACCTTACCTGAATAAGACACAGACAACTTCAAATCTAACTCTCCAATGTGGCAAATAAAATACATTTTTACTGTTTCTTTTCAAATAAAGATTGTTTGCTTTGATTACATATTTGTGTACATTCTCTTTTCATTTCTTACAAACTCAGTAACAAGAAACTCCTATCTTGTTACTCTCAGGAGAAATCAGTGCTATAGGAAAATACCACAAAAAACAAAACAAAAAACATTCATAAAATAAGAAAGTAAATCCAATTTCTCTTGTTTGATTGTTCTACTTTACATAATAAGATTTCATTTGTCAAATATATATATATATATATTACTAGCCTAAGTCATCTAAGGTTGTATTACTAAAATAAATCTTTATCTTATACTAGTATAAATCCTTAAAGTTCAATAACCTCTTCAAGTCCTCCTGTAAGTTACTTTTATAGCTTCTACCTACTTATCAGTTATTTGTATATCTTCTAAATATACATATTAATAACTGTAATTCCTCAATGCTGTCCAGTGACAAACTGTTTCATTGTTAAAATATATGCTATTAAAATGAAAATGTGCAAATATTTTAGTTTGGAGAAAAGTAAACTTACCAAAAACATCTATCAGATAATAATTGTTAGGATCATCATGAATGTGGAATGCTCTTAGTGCTGCACCCTAGAAAACAAAACAAAACAAACCAATATGGTAAAGATTTGGTTTCTGAAAGAACAACTCATATTCTACTGGTAATTTAAAACATTTAAGACTTCCCAGCTTTTGGAGATGTTCAAGCAAAGGCTTGGCATTACACTTTTAAAATCATAACTTTCTCCCTTCTAAAGCCATAATCAAAATAAAACTAAGTGATGATGTTGTGATTTTAAAATTTTACTTCATATAAAACATATTATAAAAATAAAGAAAACTGACAAAAAAAAAAGTTCCCACCCTAAATCAGATTTTTTTTTATCAAAATATATGAAATTCTAAATTCAGGTAATTTCTTCCCATATAAAAAAACTAGCTGAACAAAACAAGAAAAGTTATCTGCCACTAATCTTTATGTTTCTACATGTTCTTACTGTATTTTCTTATCTAACTATAACAACTAAAAGGTTTGTTTGTTTTTTGTTTTTGAATTTCGCGCAAAGCTACACGAGGGCTATCTGCACTAGCCTTCCCTAATTTAGCAGTGTAAGACTAGAGGGAAGGCAGCTAGTCATCACCACCCACCGCCAACTCTTGGGCTACTCATTTACCAACAAATAGTGGGATTGACCATCACATTATAACACCCCTACGGCTGAAAGGGTGAGCATGCTTGTGTGGGATGGGGATTCGAACCCGTGACCCTTAGATTGCGAGTCGAGCACCCTAACCACAACTAAAAGGTAATCAGTATGTGAATAAAAACAAAACACAATCTTAAGAATATCAAGTACTTATGCAATTTGTGTTTGAACTCAACCATATTTGAACCTAGAGAAACCTATTTAACAATCTATCTTCCATAAGTGTACTTAAATATCTTCATTACTAAAAGCATTGTAAAATCTGATTCTTTCAGGAGAGGCACCAGGCCTTGATCATGTAATCTGAAAGAAGACAATACAACTGGCCTATTCTTTTGTATATAATATTTAGATTGTTTTTCTTTAGCTAACTAGATTAGTAATTTTTACTTTGGATACAAAAACACTTTTCCCAAGACTAGATGCTGTTAGCTGTAGAGTAGCCACCATTACAATCGACCACAGTGCTAGTGGCTATTGGCACACAGTGTACCCACATAGCAATACATGCCTATTCATGTTGCTTTTTTTATTTCTCATGAACAGAAAATATCTTAAAAAAACAACAAATAAAACCTTTGCAAAATGTTCACTAATTATCATACTATATAACAAAATTCTCTACACATTCAATATGAAAAAAACATGAGATATTTGAGTTGTACACTTTTGAAAAACTAAGCTTAAAAATATCAATATTTTTTAAATACCAAAGCAGTTACAATATATATATATACCCTTACTTTCATTAAGGAAAACCAGAAAAGCCTTTACGCACAAAACTTATATTCAAATAACATGTAGTTTGTTTCTTTATACTGAATATTAATTACTGTATAAGCTAAAAACATACAATGACTTGTTCCCTTGTTGATTTCTGAGAAATACTGATTGTCCTGTAGGCTGATCTCTTCATAGAGGAATTTCCATCATATACCCTGATTAGTTCTAGAAAAACAAAAGTAATAGCTGATCACATATCATTATTTCTTATCTTTATAAGTACTACATAAAATTAATTAGGAAAATAATAAACAATTTAAATATCAAAATAACAAAAAGGGATCTTAATTGCCTAGTGACAATAATCAAATGTACATACTATTCTGTTGTGGCTTATTTAAAGAAAATACCTTCACAAAGTTAATCCCTTGCATTTTACTTAATGTACCATTCCTTATAACACACTTGGGAAGATACACAATTGAATTATTAAATAAATAATTGATTCAAAAGTGTTATAAATGCCTTTTTATATAGTAATGAAAATTTTTTTAATTTAACCAAATTATTTTACTCAAGGAAATCTTACCTTCTTCTCGGTCTTTTTCCTTTGGAGATGGATAATCATCAAATTCCCTGTTCTTCACGTCACCACTAGAAGAGAATTCTTCTGATACACTTCTTGCAGCTAAAGATAATGCAAAAACATTTATTTATTAGTTGATTGTAAAGTTTTTACATAATGACAGTGTCCATTTCATTTAACATCATAACATGATTCAATATAAAAAGGAAATAATTGCATTTTACATCCAAAAAGATTTTTTTCTATTACATGTGCAAATATAATTTAAACATATGCTCACCAAATTATATATGTTACATGGAATGCAAAAACCTCCATAAAAATAGTATTTGTATTAGTTGAAGCCACAGCTTTTATTAGACAACTATAAAAGTAAGGTTTTTGATAAACACAGCTTTTCCACCTTTCATATTCCATTTCAATATTTTGCATGCTACAATACTGCCTAAATAGTCCTTTAAAAATTAATCATTAAAAATTTTTCTCATCAGGTCTAAAACAAATAACTATTTCAAATTTTAGATGATCATCAATAAAAAACAACATCTGCATTTACATTTAACTCTATCATGTCCAGATGGGTGCTTTCTTAATTTGAAAAAGAAATGTTTCATAAAACAACTCAATCTTCATTTTTCTGGGTCACAATGATCAGAGATGAGAACAGGAGATGAGAAAAATCACTGGAAACCTGGGGTTGTCATGGTGTGATGTAACTGCCTATATTTCATTGTGTTAGAGTTAAAGGAAAATTACAGTTTTAATATTTCTAATCCCTTTATCAACTTAAAAAAGTATACAACCTCAATATGAGGATATACAAAAAAATTAAAAATAAACAATACTGAGAAATTTAAGTGATACAAAATATTACAAGAGAAGGTCCCTTTTTTTTTCTAGTCTGAACCCCATAATGAAAGCTCTTTTTTTTTACTGTTCTTTTCCCTTGTATAAGCAAGCTGATATGGCTTCCAGTTAAGCAGATACATTCAAAGATCAGAACTAAGTTATAAAAGCTTAGTCTGGTGATATATGTCTAGAATAACAGAAGTTTGTGAACAACTTCTGCTGCAATTACAGTCATGATTTTTTTTAAAGCTTGCATTATCATTTTATACTTAATTTGAATTACAATGTTGCAATATGACAGGAAATGTTTCTCATGGAACAAGGAGAGGTAGGCTTAGTTAAATAATTTTGCATTTGATCACATCAAGTCTCATTTTGGTGGCAAGACCAGTGTTTTAGACCATGTTTACATTAGGCCTTATCAGCCTAAGTAAATTCTTGAATGAGCAAAGAAAGGTACCAAACTGAAATACAAAAATGTATTACATAAAGAATAAAAAACATGTTTAAAACTTAATACATACATTAAATAGAAACCTCTCATGAACAAGTTAAAAAAATTATTAAAACCATTATAATTTTGGTTTGGGAAACAATGATATTTCTAATGTATTTTAGTAATCCTAAACAAAGTGAAGCTGCATGTGGTCTTTCCTAAATCAAACTAAAGGTAAGATTTAGTTTTATACAATGAAAACTTATAGGAAAGTTTTAAAGGAATGAAGAAATATATAAAAATCAGTAAATGAAATGTAGAACAAACATAAGCATTTTAAATTTTTTCTTACAAAAATATCACAATGAAATCACAAATTGGAAAGCTACAAATTCATACAAATATCTTATATATGAAAATTATTTTACTTGCAGAAGCTGCATAAAATGTAGAAAATTCTTCTGAGGATTCAAACTACTTCATTCAATATTTTTTTTCACAATGCAACAAAACAAACCATATAATACATGGGTGGGCAACCAAATTTGTTTTGTGGTCATAGATGTGGCCAGTCAATCACAGAAATGACCACACTACTAATAAAACAGAAATTTTTTGCTAAATAAATCTATTTCGGGATTCTAATGACAGTCAAGATAAATTATAAACACAATGCAAAACTGTAAAAAAAATACTTTTTCGAAATTACAAAAGTGTGAAATTTCAATGAGAGATTTGACATTATTTTTCTCTGACTATCTAAAAAACACACTATTGATGATTCTATGAGTCGGCCACACATGACCATTGGCCAATGGGCTGCCCACACAGGATATAATAGGTGCAATAAATTGATGCACCCAGGACTCACAGAGTTAAAGGAAAATCACAGTTTTAATATTCTGTTCCCTTTATCAACTTAAAAATATATGACCTTAATAAGTTAAAAAAAAAAAATCCAATATTAACAGGAAATACTGAGACAAAATTTAAATGGTACAAAATCTTACGAGAGAAGGTCTCTTTTCTTCTGGTCTGAACCCCCATTATAGTCTCCAGGGGAACATCAGTGCGTGGAATGCTAACACAGCTTGGTGGAAGCATAATGCTTGCCATGCATCCAAAGTTGCATTCTACTGGAAGGTTCTTATAACAGGTGGCATGTGCCTACACATAAAATGCAACATTTTGAATTCCATAATTCAGTAGTACATCCAACAAATATTATGCTATAGTAGGTAGTAAACAGCATTTTATAAACTTCAGAATGAAGAATTTATAGTTCACAGTTACAAGATACAGATGCATACCTCATAGTCAACATATTAGTCTATCAAACTCCATAATTGACATACAAGACTACTACACTACAGCATGTGACACTGAGTATGACAAATAGGTACAACACTGTAATCTACAAGGCACACAGAGGGATTTTGTACCCAAATAAATGTTTTGTGAATTAACACAATTTTATGACAATTATGGTTATTAATGAACTTTAATTTTGTAAAATATATTACCTTTTCTTAGGATAAAATCAGACCTAATGTAGTAACTACTTGAATCTTTTTGTTTATAAACAACTTGTGAATAAATTTAACCTTTCACATCAGGTAGGTCAAAGTGCACATCACAACCTTTTACAGAATTACATTCAAAGTTAAATTAAACTACTTCATTATCAACGTATACAAATAAGTTAAACTTGGCATAAAAACATACTTAATAAATCAAATTTTAATCTTATTTAAGTTTAAGATTTTAATTTTACAAGAAAATATTTGAAAAAATCCTCAATCTCCCCTTTTCTCTAATTTATTTACCATCCATCCAAACTTTAATGTAAATTACTTAATATAATATAGATATTACTCAGACAGATCATCATTTTTATAGCCTTCAATCCAATTTGTTTGCAGAGCCATAAACTAGAAAATCTGACCCACTTGCCACACCACCTACCCATCTTCTCTTTCACAAATTGGCAACAGTTCTCTATGATGTTTTATACTATGTTATTTATAATCAATAGAAATCCAAAGTTTTATTCTGTCAAAAGATTCTTATAATATTATGTTGTTTTCTGTACAGAGAATTGTCTATTTCGCTTCAAGTTAAAACTTTATTCGCTCAGAAAACACATTGATGAGCTTAGTTGAATTTTTAACACCTCTTAACACACAGTTAGAAAGCCAGAAAAATTATGATAGTTTGCACTATATTTCTTGTTGTTCCTGTGTATTCTTTATTTATTATTATAAATGTAACTCAAATGTAAAAATTAGAAACTTATTAGGTTAGATAAGGTAAGTCAACAAAAAATAATTATTGTAAAAGTTCCTCATGAGATAAGCTTGTGAGAGCAGTGTGATGTAATTTGACACAGTAAAATGAGCTGCATGTTCACCGAGTGATTTGCAGCTTGTGTGGCAGGATTAATAGTTAGACATGGTTCAAAAGGCAATAAAACAATACAATTAAGTATAAGTAGATTCGACGACGAGGAACCCACTTTGAGACTAATAATACTTGGAGACGGCTTGAATGGGTAATGAAGAAAAATTTTAACATAAGTTTAACATAACAGCAAATGTACCATGGTTGAACAAGGAAAAAACCTTGTCAAAACATTATACATTTGCTGTTATGTTAAGCTTGTATTAAAGTATTTCTTCATTATCCATTCAAGCCATCTCCAAGCATTATAAATAGATGTATACTGTTACAAACTTTAAGCTATTTAGATAAACAACTGTGGTTTCCTGTTACAATTTGCAGTCATTCCAGAAAAAAAAAGGAGAGGTAATTTATAATTATTTCCTAATTTTTATGGTGGTTACAAGGTCGATCAAATCGACTGATCCTATATAGAGTTATAGTATAGAAAATAACAGATAAAATATAAAGTTCTTCTGTAAAAATAAAATATTTGTTTTAGAGGTTTTAGGGATTATTCAAAGGAAATTTGAAAATTTCTGAAAAAAAAAAGTAATTTTGAATTTCAACATAAAAATCACTTTGCAATTGAACAGTCAACACTTTGACTTCACATAATTAAAGGCAAATTTTTAGTAAAAATAATTAATCAAAAATTCTAATTTTTTGTCATAAAAAAACTTATTGTTTACTGAAAGCTTGTCAAATTTCATGAAGATACATTAAGTACTTTCAGAGATATAGTATGTATACCACCATCGTTGAATGATGGTCACAAGGCCCTGTAAAATAAATGAGCTTGTTGCGACAGCGTTAAAGAAAACAATAATTTTCATAAGAGTAAAAATTAAGAATATTCTGAACTATTATAAATATTATAACCAACACAGTTAATATAACTAACCAAAGATCAATCTTTGTAAATCTTAAAATTAGTTTTAAATAGACACTGACCATGCATAAAAAACGACCATGCTATTAATTACAAAAACAAAAGTGAAATGTTAGTATGAGCCACATGTTGAAATAATAAATAAAACCTGAATGTGCATTAACTTTCAGTCACCCTGTATCCCCTACCAAACATCATCAAACTGTAGGTTACAGTCATACCATTGGTTTCCTAACCCCTCTTAGTTAAGGAGCCACTAAGTTTTTCTTGCCTTAGTTATTCATGGAACTAGGTTAGCCAGCTAAGGCACCACATGTATTTTCTCATAGGAAAGATTTCTGTAATTTTGAGTTTCCAGTATAAAAATTGAGTGATGTTTTCTACTGCTAAGTCAAGTGATGCCTCAGGGATACAACATCCCTTGAAGTGAGATTGACCATCAGTCAAGTGGGTAGTGCCTGCACCCTGAGAAGAAAAGCATTCTTGTTATTATTAGCATACAGTTCGATGTTTTCTCTGTCTGGAACAACTTAATAAACACTTTTTTTTTAACCAGAAATTACAACTTAAGGTTACAGATCCATCTTCAGTAAAGGTGCCACACTATACATTTCTCTTTTTAACTTTGACTGTGTTTGAAATAAATATTGTTTCACTGTGTTGACCTTGTGTCCAGTTTCTTTCTTTGCGTCAAACTCAGTTGAGATAAAGAGAAATCAAATTTCTGCTTTTCAATACATTTTCTAGTGAGCATCCTGTTATTCTGCAGTTCCTACCCAATTATTCCACCAGAAATCAGTGGACCTGAAAATACCACAAAGCCATCAAAGAAAAATGACCCCACGTCCTGTCTTTGTCAGCCCTTATCAGTTTCACACCAATGACTAATTCAGATAACTGTTAACAGAATAAACCATCGCTGCTGTCTCAAGGAAGTAGGCTTGTTGAAGCAATAAATAAAGTTCAAACATCATAGTCTGGTTCAAAAATACAAGGCATACATAAACATTGATGACTTCCAACTTAATAATTAAATTAATAAACAAAGAAAATATATTAGCAATGGTATATGCCACAATCAAGAGAACTATCAGATATTAATACAGCTACAGAAAAACAAGAAAATGCTATGCTCTACAATATATTAACCCTATCAGAACAGGTACCCTTTACTGCACATGACACAAGGTTTTAGTGTCTTACATTCAAAATTTTATTAAACTACTTTTTATTTATGTTATACCAATTAGAATAGCATAAAACATCAGCTAATAATCCTTATTTTAATAGTATACAAGTTTTAAGTTCTTAATTCTAAAAGGAAATATATAAAAAAATCCCGAATTTCCACTAGTGTAACACATATGACAAATTTTGTCTTAGCATATCATCATCCCTATTTTATCCATCACCCCCCAAAAATGTACGAAATTAAATGTAAAATGCTTTCTATAAAATCATTATTGCTCAAACAGACCATAATTTTTTATGGCCT